AAATTTTTGGCAGCATCTAGACTTCTTCCACAATAGGGATATAGGATTTCAGAGATGGTTGAACCTGGACTGGTGTCTACAGAGTTACTCTGTTCTCATATACACATCTAGATGTGTATAAGAGACAGGGGCACCCCGTGCAGACAAACATCAGTCCGTTTTCTTTTTTTTTCTTTTTTGGGAAGGGGGGGGGGGGTTCTGCGCATGACCAGAGGAGCTAAAGTCTGGGCTCCTCTTCTCTTTTTGAGTGTGGGCTGTCAAAGGAGAGGGGGGGGGGGGGGAAGGGGGGTATAAATTGGTTTTGAAGGGGCTAAACGGGACTAAAAGGGGGTGCGTTAGGCTGATTCTGTTGTTTTCTTTTCTATCTTCGAATCCGTGAGGAATTCTGATATAAACCTCAACCAAAAGTCGTTTGTATTGCAATTCTACACAACATTTTTTTTACTGGTGTTTTTTCTTTTTGCGCTGGGCCTGCCTGGAACCATGGCCGGGGTGCATGCCCGGCCGGGCACCCGGGAGTGTGTCCGAGCACAAGTCGGGTGCCCGGGCCCCCGGCAAAATAGCCTAGGTAAAATGGAGATTCCAGATTAAAAAAAAAAACAAAGATATGATAGCACTCGCCATCCTCCCTCACTCTTCCCGTTCTCCTGCTGTTCTCCCCTCTCTCCATCCCTCTCTCTCTCGCTCTAGTGTGTGTCCGCTCATTAACGATCGTCAAATGCCCTCTCTCTCTCTCTCTCTCTCTCTCTCTCTCTCTCTCTCTCTCTCTCTCTCTCTCTCGCTCGCTCGCTCGCCCGCCCTTCCCTACCCGCTTGCTTTTTTTCCTTTCTTCCTTCTCCATTCCCTCCAGTCTGTTCGATTCCATCTTTTCGTTGATGCCCTTCATCCCCCCTCCCGGTCTTCCCCCCACCAATCCGCTTTTCCCCATCCTCTTCTCTCCTTGTCCTGTGCCTGTCGCCTCCATTTTCTCGTCTTTCTCCAGCCCTTTCTCTCCTCCCTTGGGATCCTCTTCGAGGTCCTACTCTTCCAACACTCGATGTGGCCCCTGCGGATCTGGTACTATGTCCTTCCCTCTCTTCCTCTGTCAGTCGCTCTTTCTCTCTTCATTGCTCTCTCTCCATCACCTGCTTATCCACATTTACCCGATCTCTCCCGTGATTCAGGCCCTTCGTCATTATCCTGCTCTCTCCTTTCCTTGCAATCCCCATTTACCCTCTCTCTCTCTCTCTCTCTCTCTCTCTCTCTCTCTCTCTCTCTCTCTCTCTCTCTCTCTCTCTCTCTCTCTCTCTCTCTC